ACATTTCAGTTTGGAAACTGAACGACACAATCAAAAGCAGATGAAGAAACAGCGGACAGAATGCCTAAAAGGGAAATTTCACCCAGCGTGACTTCTTTAAACCTCATAATAATAAAATATATAATAAACATTCCTTTCCTTGTTAGGCGTCACCTGATGGTCACACTAAATCAAAGCCTTTTATTGCTCTCTGCCACATCACTGTTTGAAGATAAAGGTTCTGCTTTAATAAAGTGCTCGTTATTGTGTGAAACAGAAGCGTTGGATGGGAGTGGGATCAGACAAACTGGGAGGAAACKGAGGTAAACGAAGCAGAAAAGCGGACAGCGGATGGTGGAGTAAAGACACAGCAGGGACCAGCATGGCGATGATGTAATCTATGAAAGTGTGTGAGCACGGCCTGTTCCACAATCAGCTAAAATCAAGCCAACAGATTGTTTTGTTTTAGTCGACTTCATGATTTTAATGGGATTTTTGCCCACTTGTGACAAACTGTTTTAGTTTAAAAACAATCTGCTTAGATTTTATTTGAAAAGTTTACGACTTTTCATGAAAAAGTAAAGTTTACTAACCTTTTCTAGTCCAACTAACTGAAAATAAAACAGGGACCTTAGTGTGTTGGTATAATTTAGATAAAAGATTTAGATCAGGGCTATTCAACTAAATCGCTCCGGGGGCCACAGTTACTGCGGGTCAACAGCTGAGGGGCCGAACACCCAGCAATTAAAGTTATTATGTAAATAAACCAAGTATTACAAAGGTCCGTTACCTTTGAATTAGTTTATTTTGCTGCATTTAATCATGAATACAACATACAGAACCCTATAAAAGTAGAGATAATTAAACATTATCAAAAACAAAAAGAACACATTACGCCTCCTATTTGACACAAATAATATTTTGACATCTCTGACTTGCCAAACTTTTAAACCAATTTTATTTTCAACTGCTTGTAGTTTTAACTGTCTTGTGTATTTATAGAAATGGTTTTTACCAGCTTGTAGCCACGATTCTGACATTTCTGTAGATACCAAACATRTCTATGTTTAACTAGTAGAAAACTGGGAGTTGGGCTTAAGAGATGAATGAAACAATTGGTGGGCCGACGTTTGGTCACTCGCGGGCCACATCCGGCCCGCGGGCCGCCAGTTGAATAGCCCTGATTTAGATCAGCTCTGAGTGAGCTGAATGAAATTTAAGAGATGAGCTGATTCTAGTTGGTTTCAGTAAATCTCTGCAACATGAAGCAAAGTCTGAACTCCACCATTCAAGTAAACACACAATGTGGAAAACAAAGTGAGAGATACAACACATTTAACAGGAAAAGAAAACTTTGATATACTATAAAGCTGATAAAGCATTTTTAATAAAGCACTCGAACATATAAAGCACATCAAGTAAAGTAACAAAGAGAAATCCAACAACAAAAAAAAATAAAAACGTTAAGGCGAATGACTGAAAACATTCAAATGAGGCAGAACTGATGCAACCGTACAATTAAACAGGTTCTTCTAAAGGCTGTATGGCTTCAGATTAAAGTTTTGTTTTTTCTTTTTGTTGCACCAAACATTACTCCAAGATGCTTCGAGAATGTTTGCCCCAAAAAGATGCATTTGGTATGAAAAAGTAAAAGTATGAAAATAGTTTTTCCTTTTCTTTAGAGAAACTAAACTCTTTGGAACAATGATCAGGATTTCTTTCTGGTTCAATCTGAACACATTTAGCTTTTACACCGCCGCTCGGATTCTTTACTTTCAACTAAAAAACCCAACAAAACGCAAACAGACTACGTTAAAACAGAACTGATTTAGTTTCTTATTTCAGACTCRTTTTCAGTGTTTAGTATTTATTTCTGAAAGAAGTTGACGTGAATGTTCCCAAAGCSATTTGTCACAATGAAAACTGAGGGTTTTTCAGACAATACTATTCTCATGGTTTACTTTTTAAATGAGTTTCAGTGGAAGTTGAACTGAATTCTTTTTCAGAATTTTTTGCCAGTAAAATTAAATTTGGTCAGCTCCATTCTTGATTTACTAAACACACAAAAACAGCGTCTTCACAAAAGAAAACTCTCCTGAGCACACATGTAAACACACTGATTTATGTGAGAAATGTGCACAAACGAAACGATCTTTTAATCTTAGCTATGTAACCAGAGATCAAAACCAGAAATAAGCTATTTTTTATTATTATATTGTTTTAACTTGAGCTCTCAGGGTTGAAGTTCACCTTTAACAACAAATGTTTTAGAAAAAGAGATAAACGATCCGAACAAAAGTGATGTAATTAAAAAGGTGTAAACTGAGTCCGTCAGCTCCAAACCCTGGTAAACAATGTTACTTTCATCCAGCTGGTGTCCAGGTAAACAAAGACGATGATGATGATCAGAAACTGCACAAATTTTTAAGGTTAGTATAGAAGCTGCAAAACTGTTGAAATGACTGTTTATTTTAATGCCCGTGTTTTGAGTTTTAACTTTGCTGTGATTTGCACATTTTAGTAAAATGACTTTTAAAGGGTATTCAGAAAAGAGATTATTATAATTCTACTATATATTTTATATATCTGTACTGCATAGAATTCTATATTTTTTGCCACAACATGCCTGCAGTGTTCGACTGAGCATAAAATAAAGACATTTAAAGTGTGGACCGAGGAAACGGCTCTTTGTGGACGTTTGTTTAATGAGTCCACTCTACATCATGATCAAACATAAACACAGGGAACTTAACTTGGATGGGAGAACATGTGCGATGGCAGATCAAAACGTCTGTGCAAAAAGCTTTCTGACATTCAGCCAAACTCCTGGTTTGACAGGATAAAACTCCCTGAAGGCCAACAACAGCCACTTCTTGAGTCGACATTAAAACAGTAGATAAACTTTCTCAGGTCAACAGAGGCRCAAGCTTTCATTCTCCCTATAAACATCTCAGGGTTTGTTTTTTTACACAGCGGGGTTTCAAAGTGACTAAACAAGTATAACCCATTATAATCAAATGTTAGTAAAATAAAATATATATATATGAAATAAGGCCAAATATGTAAAAAAAAAAACAACTACATCTGAATGTTTGGATATCCAGCAGTTTCAAGTGACAGAACCTGAAAAGTGAAATCTAAAGTGCAACGGTAAAAGTGAACAAACATGATTTTTTTTTGTTGTTGTTGTTGTTGGTGATTATGTTTAGGTCTAGAGGCCCCACGTGTCTCACAGAAACTGACTTTACAGACAAAAAGACAAACGGACACTAAAGTAAAAGATCGAACACTAAAACAGTCCAAACCTTTGGTAATGCATAGTTCTTTTCTGAACGCCTCAGACCATCGAGAACTAAATCAGCTTCTCTGATGGAGAAGCTGAATTTTACACTCCTGTCTAAATAAAGAGCGATAATAATAATAATAATAATAATAATAATAATAATAATAATAATAATAATAATAATAATAAACAAATGGCTCTTTTTTTCCTCCTCAGGCTCTTCCTTTTTCTTTGAATTTTCATTTACTACAGCAGTTGCAGTTTTGGCCTTTTCATTTTTCATTTTATATTTTGGTTTTTGAACCAATGAGATCACTTGAACACATCCATCTCCACTCTGAACAGTAAAGGCAGACTTGTAGACTGATCTGATCTGATCTGGTCTCCATATCTCAGGGTAAGAAAGGCTCATCCTCGTCCTCGTCTTCCTCTGCGCCGGGTCCGGGATCGCTCAGACACCTCATTAGCTTCTGCTGCTCCTTGTCACCAGATTTGTTTGGTCCACTTGAAGGAGGTTTCATCATCAGGCCTTGGTCCTCCTCTTTTCTTTGCTTGTCAGCTTGTTGGGAGTCGTTCACGACGTTGAAAGTATCCGGGGACTCCGGGGACGCCAGGTCGACCTGGATGGTTGGCACATTGTCGGACATCGGTCTTACGTGGTAAGATTGTGGATCTGCAGGGAGAACAAATCAGTGCACTGATGAAAAGCTGAATTTAAAATACAACCCCATTTCCAAAACGTTGGAACACTGTGTAAAATTTAAATTAAAAACAGAATACCATTATTTTCAAAGYTATAAACCTTTATGTTATTTACAATGGAACATTGTAAACATTGAATGACTAATGTAGCATATTTAGAAAAAAACATTTTGAATGTGATGGCAGCAGCACATTAAAAAAGAGCATTTTAGAGAGGCTGAATCTCTCCGAAGTAAAGACAGGCAGATGTTCACCAGTCTGCAAAAAAAAAAAAAAGATATCTATATCATATTTTAAATATACTATATACAGTGGTGAGCACCAGCCCGCTAAGGCGCCAATACACTAATTGCGGACCTAAATATTTCATTTGCGCTTTAGCGGTCTTACTAATTTTTATCATTCGTAAGCGGATTTGCGCTTTCTAAAATTAAAATGCAGTACCGCTAATGACTAATAATCTATCAGTTATCATTATCTTGAACAGCAGAAGGTATGGCTGTCAATGAATCACAACAAACATGATCTATCCAACAGCACCCCTCCCAGATAAACACACTTATTGGAAAAGTATACATCCTTGCTGACTGTTGCTTTGGGTCACGGTTCTCATTTCCCACAATGCTTTGTGTCTGCTTACGTAGCAGGAAGTCAGTAGCAAAAACAGTTAACGTTTGTAATCCATACTAAAATTTTGTATGYATTGATTTATTTTACTTTACAATTGGAGCTCCTTTTAAAAAAAAGTTTAAACGCTGGAGCTCAATACTTGACATAATTGGTCAAAACAATGGGGTTAGAAACGCAGAAATGATTTAAAGATGTTATGCTGGTGAAGAGAGCCATCTAGTGGTCAACTGGTGCAACTACATGGAAAACTTTAAAATCCAAGCTCTTATTTTGAAGGGAAGATAGTTTTCTGTACTCTGTGCTTTCGTTTCCCATCACAAATCAAATCCGTCATGTACCCAGAATGCATTGCTTTAGTTTTCCAATAAACAGTTTTAAAATTGCTTTATTGGTGCTTCTTTAATGAAAAACCTACAACAAACAAAAGAAAAAGACAAAGAAGCAGCCGAACTAGCAATCCTCAACAACTTTTTAAGGGGGCAGCTGAACTAGCAATCCTCAACAACTTTTTAATTTTTACAGCAGGAGCTAAAAGGTCTGTTTCAGGAAATCACATCCCCAGCAATCGGCGCTTGTAGGAATAAGCTGTAAAAGCGTTCATACACCGCTAGTTGGCAGTGTTGTACATATATTGTACATGAATTGTTGCCGGCTAGTAAGTGTTAAATTGAACTTGCG